AGGCAAAAATCCAAAGTTTAACAAAAGATTTATTAATAAAATAAAAAGGCTGGCAGGGCAGCTCAAAAACTCTCAGGAGAACAGGAACACAGAGACCACCACAATGGCTGTGTAAACAGCACAATGAACGGACCCAGACTGAGGACAAGACACCAAATATAAAGGTAAACAAATTAAGAGACAATCGGAAACACCTGGGGAGACACAAAAGGGATCAGGTGTGCGTGGGCGGGGCTGTAGGGCAGAGCAACACAGGGGAACACTGAAAACACTAGAAAGTTAAAGAAAATAAACAAGACCATGACACCAGTTGTGGCATGCCATCTTCAAAACAGTGCCATCATTGCCAGACCTGGCCCACATCCAGTTGACAAACCACTCGTCATGCCAGCAGTCAGTCCTGGCTCCACATCTGTCTGCTGGGTGCAAACCAACTGCATCTAAAGCGTTTATAAACTTACAGAATGAGCTGCACACCACTGTTGTTAATTGCTCATAAAACTTTCAACACTATCACCAGGATGTACAAGTTCCTCCTTTCTCTCCTCTCCAGGTGTAAACTACTGGAGCTGGCAGTGGAATGTCCCAAATACATCCTGTCAGGTGGAGTCCGAAGCGGCTGCCAATTCCCCAGAAATTCGCTGGCTGAATTTTCTGATATCATCTTCTGCGTAAACGGCTCCTCCTCTGAAGGTTCCCTGAAGCCCGTCTTTGCATCACTGCAGATCCAAAACCACAGTGCGTGCATTGTTACCCCCCTTGTGTCTGTGGCTTTTAATTTAATCTAATAGTTTTGCTTTTTTTCACCTTTTATCCACTCCGTCTTCCTGATCTGTTTCCCTGCTTTTATCTTATCAAAATATTTTATTTTCAGTAAAGCCTGCAGCCGTGGAAAAGATGGATCTGAAAACAAGTTCAGACGAGCAGCTGGAGCTACTCTGGGAAAATCCTGTGAGGATCCTTCCTGGACACTGCATGGAGTGGGAGGTGGAACACAGTCATGAGAGACCTGATGGAAATAGAACATTGGTACAGTGAATCTATCTGCTTTGGGAGTTTTTCTCAAGCCTTGCTCCACTATCATCTTTTACCACAAGTCCTACAATAATGAAAAACTTGCTGCAGCCTTTGCTATAAGACATCACTGATGAGGACCCTGAGTGTTGCAGGAGTTTAATAAAAAGAAATATATGGTTAAATGTAAAAATGTGCAGTTTGATGTTTTATTTATTTATTACCGTATTTTATTATTATTTATTGAATCTAAAAGACAGATTTTTAAACATTTGTGTGCAAATTTATCATTTTGTCTTGACATTCCACCTTTTAAAAATACGTTTTCATGCCTCTCAGAATCTAAATTTTGGGGCAAGCTGAGCTCATTTTATGTTTGTTATACAGTATTGTTCTTTTGTTGATATTACACAATTTACTATCATGTAAAGGGATCACAATTATATTTTAAGTTTTTTTCCAATTGCCAAAAACATAAACACAATTCATTTTGGTCAAGCATAATAATTAATTTCTAAAATAAAATTAAATATATTACTGTTTATTAGAATTAGCTTAACAGCCCAGAATGCATATGTTTAGGGTTCTGTTTGGGTATTAGTACAATTGTTTTGTAATAAATGTCTATTTTTGTTAATGTTTCATTTCATTTTTACAATACATTTCCGTGAGGAGTGACCTATAATTCATTTATTATTTTGCAGAGAACCATTGAGATCGAAGAGACCACCAGCCTGACTCTGCCATTCAGCCCCCACATGGAGAGAGACTGCTTCCGGATTCGCTCCAAACTGAGCACCTACTGTGTTGATAAAAGCCTTCGGAGCGACTGGAGCGATAAAGTGTGCTACCCAGGTACTAATGTGTCACCCATCTGCAAAACTATTTCAGTAAATAGGATTTTCCAATCTATTTATAACTATTTGTGAGGCGATGATTGATATTATCGAGACCTTTATGTGACTTGTTTTTACTTTAAAACTAATTTCATTTGTTTGTCTTTCATTCAGAGAAAGTAAAGGCCGCTCCCGAGCTGAAATCGAACTTGGTACCCGTCTACATCTGCATCATTGTTGCTGTCACCATCCTGCTGGTAGTGTCTGTGTGTGTATGGGCAACAATAATAATGTGAGTAATGCACATTCAGTATATGTGGTATTCACCCTGAGATCTACAAAAGAAGTGCAAAGTAACTCTTCTGTCTTTTTTATCTACAAAACAGGAAGAAAACAGAACCGGAGAAGAAGCTGGACTCTCTGCTCGCCTCCCTGTTTGCCAAAACTTCTGCTTTCGCAGCTCCAACAATCTTTAAAGGGAAGAACGTGTGTGCTGACATCATGATCTAAGCTTGTTTCAAGTAAAGTTCGTTTTTGTTTGTTTGGATTTTTTGCACTTGCACATTTTTCAAGGCCATCCCCTGAAACTGTAACCACTGAAGCACATTGTGTCACAGTACACTGAAGCTTGTACTGTCTTAGAATAACCAGCTGCCTATTGATTCTTACAGTGCCCATCTGGTGACATTGGACTAAAAAAATATCTCATTGCCACAAGATAATTATTGCAGTCATTTCCATGCAGAGAGTGTTGATTGTTAACATGATACGTTTAAATTAATTCTGTTTTATTTTAATATAATGAATGACCTAATTCAATCATTTGCAGTTAGGCCAGAAGGAGTTGGAGTTATGTTGCATTCAGGAACACAGTAAAAAATCAATTTCCTGCCACACAACTATAAATGGGCTACTATGAAATATGATTTTTTTTTTACATTAAACATAAAATAAAATAAATAAAATAATAAATGTGGGGCACCTTTGAACAGTTAAACACAAAACACCATAGTCATGTTTAATCTGACTCCAACAATGTCTTTATTTTTCACATGGAGACATGGCTGCTCAGTGCTCAAAATGATCTAGGGGAAAGGCTTTTTTTAACTCGTGGCCATGCGTTATAATCGTGGCCATGCATTATTATCTCTTGGCCATGAGACACTTCTTTTTTTTCTAATGTCACAGGACAGGTACTGTAGATTTGACATTTATTGATGTTTTTATTTTTGACCGTCTCTTGAGGGGAGAACACAATGGATTGTTTACATTTTGCCTAAAGTCTTGCAGGCTGATTTCATTTAGCAGAGACTGAGCAGTGAACATTGTTGCATCACATCAGGGAGGTCCTGGGTTGGAACATCTTTTTGTGTGGAGTTTGTATGTTCTCCTTGTCTTGCATCTTCAGACCCAGACCTCCTTTTACAAAGAGATCTATGATCTCAATGGGATAAAGAAAAAAAATGTTGTAGATGCACCGTGGAGAATTTGTTTTTATGTTTGTGCCAGATTTCTTGCCAAGATATTTAGTTACCAGTAATTACTTATTTTTGAGTATTATTAAAATCATATATAAATATGCATACATACTTATTTTTATTTAATCCTGTTTATAAATCGTTCTTGTCAGTCTTGCCATCCAAGAAACTGAGATTGTTTTGTCATGTCAAAAAGAAAAAAAAAGAAAAAGTGAGGGTTAATATTTTTGAAATGTCTCTGTTGCACTCTTTAAGCCAGTGAAGCCTTCACTTAACTACGTATAATGTTTGTGATGCAACTTTATGTTCGACAGCACCAGAAAGGCTGAGAATCTCAGTGCTCTCGATGCCGAGTCATTGCCACAGTTTTCTTTGTGGATTGTATTCGAAACCCTCCGAGCTGCTTTTTGTGCAACACAACAAAATGCCTTGGTTTAATCAAATGTTTGCCTAAATGGTTGATGTGTTCCTTTTTGTTTTACATCTTATTTATGACTCATTTTATTATAATTTCGGAATAAAAATGAAACGTAAAAAAGTACAGCTACAGTTTTGAATAAAACGGCTGTGGACAGCATTTTTCTACTGTATATTTCAAAAATCTAAAACAAAACGCTTTGTTGCATGTAAAAATGATTGAATTGATTTTATTTGTATTTGATATGCAAATATTTTCCCCCTTCTCAGTAATTTATTCGGTTGGAAAAAGGAAAACTTGGGCACAATAAAATGCATTGTGTTTATTTTCATTAAGGTATGGATTTTCTGTGACACTGAGTAGATATTTGGTGGAGAATTTGTTACCAATGTTTTTTTAAGTTAAATATGCATAAAGCTTGTGTACTGATTATTTGTATGACATGTTTCAGCTTTGATGATTGGGCACCACTACTAAGATATGCAGGAGAAATGTTAAGTTTATTTTTGTATTATTTTTTAAATAAAGTATTTTGCTACAGTGATTGTAACTTGATGGATTCCTGATTTTTAGACATTAACAATGAGTCCATATGTGTAAAGACTGGTGCTTTGTGTAACGACAAAAAGCTGAAACCCTGACTGATAATATCACCTGAACTTGATGCTGTCTCAGTTGAAAGCCATATCCTAAAAGCTCCAAAAGACAAACAATCTGATGCAAACATTAAATTTTGTGGGCTTTATCTTGTACACTCTCTTATGATATCAAATAGACTCTTTTGAGCTCACTGAAGTGGATAACGTTAAAAACATCAAAAAAGTTACGCTGAAGACATTGCACTTTTAAAATTGTAAGATGCTAAAATTCGTAAAATGTAAAAGTGTATTGTATTCAAAAATTTATATTTAGGGATGGAGTCAAGACTGGTTGCTCCAAGGACACCAAGGCTGAGGTTGGAAGAGTTCAACAAATATTTCAGGACATTGTTGTTATAATTTTTTGTACACCACAAAATGCCAAAACAAATTAAACAAAAGTTAACCAAACAAAACCACTTCTTGCTATTAAATTAATAATTGTTATAACAAACTAATATTTAGATTATTAAATGCAACTATACATTTATACATTGCTTACATTCCACAGTAGATGAATAAAAAACATTAAGATTAATAAAGATTTGCCAAATCTAAAAATAATAAAAACTTTACGTTTCAATAAGTGTTTGTCACAAAGTAGCTTTCTAAAAAGAAGCTCTGACATTTTTTTCAATGATTACAAAACTTAATGGAGCAACTGACTGTCAATATTACTATAAGTAAGTTTTGTGTAAAATAAGGGTAAGTGTTGTAATTTTTGAATTAATATTTTGGCAGACGGGCAAATTGTAAGTATTAGCAGAGCTGTAGCAAAATGGAGCTAAATCCTGCAGATGAATCCTCCTCTGCACAGCTGGGTTTCCTGCGAGACATGGATCCTGGTCCAGCAGTACCAACAGAGACTGGAGGGAAAAAGGCCTCAGAGATAAGGGWCTGAAGGTGGGTGCTCAGCAACCAGACAACTTTGTGTGTCATTGTGGGACTTTTCATAAATAGAATGAGTATTCCTGGTCTTATAAAGTGTGCAAATCTAATTGTCTCAAACCTGTACTTCATGGTTTATATAATATAACTCAAAGATAATGTAAGAACCATGAGGGAAAACTATCCTAGAACCCTAGTCATTGGAGCACTCTGTGGGAAATGATTGCAGGAAGTCAATTGGTTTAGTACCCCAAGTCACTTTGGACATTTCTGCCATAGAATTTAAACAAATGTTACTCAAAAGCTCAAAAGGTACAATTACTAAATTATACATTGTTAATAATTCATGACTGTATTTTTTTGTACGAAAAGAAGATAAAGAGGAATCGTGTAGATGGAACAGGTCAGGACAGCTGTAACTAATCCACATATTTATCTGCCTGTGGAAACACAGCAGTGGCTGACATGACATCCACTCACAGAATTTTGGCAGAGGAGGGATATTCCAGCACAACACCGTGTTCTGACAACACCCCCGAGAATTTCTGAGGAAGACAGACAATAGTCAAATTTGAAAAGAGCTAATGAGCTGAAAATTTCTGTCAGCAGCTCCTTGATTTAAACCCAGACCTGAGGATTGCAATGGTTAAAAACATACCTGCAGACTCATCACTGTGGTGTGTGTGGTGTGTGTGGTATTTTTCATGCTGAGAACTGAACTTATTCCTTTTACATGCCCTTGTATGAGGTTTTGTCCTGGGGGGACATGTTTTCTAATTTAAATTTAAACTATTTGATTGCATCTAAACTCAATTACCTTGATTCATTTTCTGTGAACACACACTAAACCATGTGCTGCCATGTTTGCTGGTTGTTTACATGTTTTTGCTTTGTGGTGGGGACACATTTTCACCATTTTCCTGGTATACACAGCCTTGTGAAGACCCACTGTTCATTAAAAGCTGGTCCCCATTGGGGGAAATAGGACTAAAATGTGGATTTTTAGGGTCAGTGTCAGGCTGTAGAAATGAGTCAGTACAGTCCCCATGAGGATAGTGAAACCAACTTGACTTTGTGTGTGAGTTGCCAATCCTGCACAAGGCTGCAAAATTGTTGCAAAATTCAACAACAGCACCGTCTGTTCTCACATTCCCTTTATTTTCCTCGAAGCTGCAAACTGTGGGACGCACATGTGGTTCCTTATAACAACTGTTCAATGTGGCTAAAAGATTTTAGGGTCTTGCAGTTGATTTTGAGAAGGATATATTTGATGTTAATAGGAAGAATGTGAAGATCACATTTGTGAAAAGTTGAAGAAGAGGGCAAGGTTGAGCTTCAGTTCTGTCCAAAACAAAGATGAGCCACAGGACCAGTCCATCAGCAGCAGCTAATGCTACAAGATCAAGCATGTCAGCAGCTAGAAAGTGAAAACATGCAAATGTTAAAAAAAATACTAAATAAAACATGCTGAAATCATTTTTTCACCTTTCCCAAGAAATGGGCCACCCAGCATAATTGACAATATGATAAATATACAAATAACATGATTAGTGGTTACTCATAGATCATAAAGTCTTAGAGTTCATGCAGAAAGTGATTTTGGGTTGCATTAATAAATCATAAAAATATGTGTGCAAACAAAGAACTCTGCACCACTAACATGACATTGTTTTCATTGGCAGATGTGGTGGCCAAGAATGACATTTTTTTTGTGTGTGTGTTCATCTTGGGTTGTGTGAACAAAACGGAATGAATTCAGTTTGTAATAAAGTATCAAAACCTAAAAATCAGTAGTAACTAGACATGGGTTTTTACGATGCAAAAACAAGTGTGCATTGCCATGTAGCATATCACTGCAGCATGGCTTTGCCTGCAGCAATGGACTTGCAGAATGAACTGTGACCAAGTACAAATGTGTTTTCTACACCAGCTTGTGCTTGTCAAGTCAGCAGGTGTGTAAGGGTAATTGTGTGACAATATGAAGTTTGTAGAGATTTTCTGTTAAAGTTGCTTTAGCTGGGTTTTGAACCCTGTTCTCCCACATGAAAGTCCATGGCATTGGGGATTAGACCATTGGAGCTGTGGCTAAGGGTGGTGCCAGGGGTTGGTTTGTATGTGTGCAGAAAGAGGCCACATTGCCAATACAATTATTGACACTAAACTGCATAATATTACAACAATAGAGCAGTATTAAGACAACATTATAGTAAAATATCAAAATACAATCATATTAGTATTGTAAACACTGAACTATTGAGATCAAATATTATTAAACTATGGTTCAGTACTGAGTAGATACAGCAGGGGGCAGTATTGGACCAATACAAGGCTGTATTGACTCCCATTATAAATTATTAAACATTAATATTTCAAAAACTATAAGTTGTACAGGCACCAAAAGGCATAGCCATCATTTGGCACAGGAGCTTTACAGATATAAATTAGAATAGCTGCTCTAGGACAAAGTATGCAGGAGGAGAAGCRTGCCAAATTGGAGATAACTTGGATGGGAAATGAATCACAATGGTGTGCATTGCATTGGCAATGCACACTGATAAAACCTTGCCTCATTTGTAAATTTGTTGATTTTACCAATTGATTTTCATTGATTAATTTATCACTTTATTTAAAAATAGCTGCACACATAGATGTGAAAAATGTGAAAGCACTTTGAGATTTACAAATGTAAGATAATAGGAATGCATCATCATGTAGGAATTACTTAATGAAATCAGGACCAGCCTATTTTCATAAATGTAATCCAGGATCTTGCAAGAAATGAAATCAGATATAATGAAACACTCCTCTGATCATGAATGAGAAAAGAACTTGTG